AGGTATTTTGTCATTGTTGTCATTCATCTTTTGAGAAGTGAGGTGTAATTAACATCGCGAATTCGCAGCCCTTGTCACAATGTTTACCTAAACAGACGCATTTTCTCGATTTATCAGGTCGAATTTAGTAAATATGTAAAATTTCATAAGAATTCGTTGCAAACACATGGAAACATGGGAGCCCAAACTTGTCATATTTTTAAAAGAAATGTATGCCAGGAGTCTAACGCTCGCCCCCTGCCATACGTTTCTTTGTAAAAATTGGCAGGTCTGGAGGCCCACATTTTCATGAGTTTACAATGGATTCTTATTAACTACATTTGTCATGATACATTGATATAATTATGGACATGGGCTTTTGTTTATATGAAAAACACAAAAAATTGTTGATAGTATGTGATATCAAGTCAAAAGATCCATTAATGAATGAATCTTGGCCTAAACATAAGTAACTCTGCCACCAAAACTGCTTCGGGATTATTTCAGAAGTTTTTGAGACACCTTTGAACAATCTAGGACACTAGTGGACAGGCACGAAGGCCCTCAGCGTATTTTAGAAATCGATCATTAACTCGCGTTCCTAATCTTAAGAAATGAATAATTTAACAGTTTTGCAACTAAGTTTTGTGTAAAGGTTTATCGGTAAACTGGTATATGTGGATAACATTGTCTGGCTATAGATTGTATCGCTGAGTTTTACTTAATTAAATACTAATCAAATAAATGGTAGTTATAATGCGGTTACATATTGTGAATATAGTCACGTCTGTATTGGCATTCGCAGTTCCTTAATTCTTCTTTGGTGATTCAGTAGTCTTGGTTTTAAGAGATTGCGTCTCACATGCTGAGTGCTGGGCTCTAAAAAGAAAATATCATGATATATTGTAAAAACAAGAAGTTGCACCACAAAAAAGACTTCAATCTTCCTACCCTGGTCACCATTTGATTTGGAAGCTTGTCCTTTTCAACATTCTCTTACTCAAACATAACTCGTAACTTTTACTCTCATCAATACACTTCATGTGTACTTCCGTCAGCCTTAACTACGTTCACTGAATCCAGTTTCATTGTTCTTTCGTTAAATACATCTACTTATTCGAACGATAAATAATTCAAGAAAGTAGTGGTAAAGTTACGGTCTTTATTCTGGTGAATTAGACTCATTTGTTGTGGATTGGATGGAAACTTTTAAATGCATATATTTGACCGTGAAAGCCTGAGAACTGACAGAACGCCCTGTGCTGAGTCTGCTGATAACATGCCCATTGCACACGTTTCCACATTTGGTTTAGTTTCGTTCTCGTGATCTTTATACTTACAGGGAATTCTGTCGAGTGCCCCCCACTGCATGTCGTACCATGGTAACAGAGGTCATGGCCACAGAGACTGGAAGCGTAGATAGCTCTGTCTGTGTCCCTTGGTCACATTTTGTTTTGTTGGGCTTAGTGGCTTTACAGTTTCGTTTCTTTAACTCCGGCATTGTGTCACCATCACCGGTTTTACCCTCACCACTTTTAAGAGTAACTTTGATTGCTCCACTATCTTTCGCTGAAGACGCAATGGAGGGCGTCTCGATTTCACCTGTTTGCAGTTCGGTTTTCAGTATGTTTTTGCTAGCCATATCACGAATTTCTCCTTGCAAGTCATTGAGAGGGAGGAGCAAAGCCAGGCAGCAAGTGAAGGACCATTGCGGATTTTGGCGCCATTCCTTGATGTACTGATACAAGGACGCTAGGTATTGAACTAAAGGGAGAAAAACACCATAAAAATAATAAGTTTCTTTTTCCACACAATAAGGGGCAGGGATCATAGGGATTGAGAGATATAGCTTGTTTGACGTCGTACGCTTTAGTATCTCTAGATTGTTTATAACAGGTTATTTCTATATGAACGTATAAAACTTTTCTACAGTAGAGCCAATATCTTTTTCATGGCGGGATAGTAATATGCCGAGATTTATTTGGGTTTACTGACCGTGAGAACTAAAAAGTCGTCTTTGCTCCACTAGAAAAAACTTAACGCATCAACGGGAAGATCGAAGATATATAAATGATGATGAACCAGTGAAAACGATGGGAAGAGATAATTCTTTGAAGAACGAAATCTAGCCATAGCCATAACTTAATTAACTTTCGTGGAGTTTTCAGCCAAGGTCAACAAGGATGCCGAAACAAAACTACCGTAAGAATGTTTGTTAAGAGCTAAAGAAAAAAAACCCTTGACAAACGTTATTGTTTTGAGGTTAGCAAAATTAAAAACAATGAAATCTATAAAATGTCGAACAGAGTGTTTTAGAATACGAGAAGACTAGGAGATGTCATCGCAGCAAATAACAACAAACGCCTTCAAAATTTTTATCGGGAACTTTTACCACAAAAAGTTGTCCACAACAGTTCACAGTTCGTCTTAGAGTTTCACTAAACTTTGAGCTCTTTTGTTGATCACCAGATACATCACGCGGCTTTCTTGGGCTAATGCACATCCTACGCGCAAATTTACTTTTTTACAATAACTGTCTAATTTCTCGCGCGCTGATTGGCTCATTTTTATCATCAATAAGAATACAGACCGATAAAATTTCAATTTATGCAAGCTTTCGAGTTCAACTTTCAGCTGTCAAACTGTCAACTTTTTAACCAATGAGAATGGGGCTCGTGGTTCCACAGCCACTTTGACAATGTTTATCATCAATAAGAGGACAGACGCATAAAACACTGACGTCAATCTGTTAAGTCGAAGACTTTATGCAGACTTCAGAGTCAGAGAATTTTTGGGGAGATTTTATCCTACTGTCTAGGTATATACTATGGCCTTAAATATTGGTCCTGAGAGAAACCGTTAGGCCTTGGGCAGACGTCGAATCTTAGTCGAATTTAATTCCTCGAACATATTAATTTTGAAATACGCACATGAATGGTGCGACGTTTGCTGCAATTAAATTCGACTCAAATTAATTGGTTTAACTCTAGCATAGGTTCGACTTGCCAAGTCGGATAATGCAACAGTGGTTCGGCGTTTCAGCAAACGCCGCTCTAACCACGAGCTGAACTCAATTCATAAATCATGCAAATTACAAAATGATTGATTTAAATGTGATGGACTGGGCAAACGTCACAAAAATACATACTCCTCCATCTGCCAAACGCTATCTCCCACCCCCTCCCCCTGACGAGCATGCGCATGGTGCTGACCAAAACGAGCGCGGCCTCTGGGGACGAGAATGCCAGAAGAGAATGTCGAAAGTCATTGCTGACATCGCACAGCGAGTTAATCTGGATTTTTTTAATTATAACTTAAACCAATGGAAATAATAGATACATCAATCTTTCGCATGAAAAACTAATTTTGTCCTCATGCACAATACATATCTTTTGTAGTAGAAACCAATAGCGAAAGACAACTGTATTTACCTAAGTTAGTACATAAGTAACGCGAAAACTGTTGTAAATAGATTACCAAAATCAGCTTATACTATGAGATAGTGTGAAGTACTGTCAAGAATAAAGATTTGTTGAGTTCCAAAGAAGTTTCCTGGTTTTCTACTGTGTCGTCGCTGGAGTAGAGCATAGAAACAAGTTCCCTGTGCCTCTGGCATCACGTAACGAGTGCCGGCTGTCAAGCCAGTGGCTCAGCAGAGTTATTCCCCGCTCCGCAACGTTTCTCAGCGAAGATCACTATTTGCCAAACCATTTATCCGTTCACCCGTCAAGTGTTTTAGCTGTTAATCTAGATATTTGCCAAATTCCCAAGTGCAGGCCAATACACGACAAGCGAGCCGTAAGACTTATCGTTACATTGCATACTGCGAGGCTTGTGACAGGGACCTAAAGAGAGCCGTGCCGGGTCTACCGTTGTCTGAAGAGAAGAGTATCGGCATTTCGCTAGAAAGTCCTAGCAGTAACTAGTCGCGCATAGAGTGAATAGCACGGGGAGACGTGCTTATTCCCGTGTTTTAATGAAGTGCAACTTGTGAAGTAGGATGACGCAGGTTCGACGTTTGCTACCACGCTGGAATTAAGTCGACTCTTTAGAATTAAGTCGACGTTTGCCCTAGGCCTTAGTTTTGTTTTTCCGAGATTTTAGAAAAAAAAAACAATGATAAGAACGCATAAATAAGAACACCCATTAGATTCAATTAAACTCCAGCTATATAACGACCCCAACTAGCCACCTCTATTGCGGGAAACAATTGTTAACTAAACTTAACAAGTTGCAGTTCTCAACGAGGCTTCAAATAAACATGAAAATAAGAAATCATCGAGATAATATTTGGTAAACCAATTTATTCCTTAATGGTACATCTTACCAGCAAGCTGGCCAATCACTAACGTGTTTGCCCCAATTATCAATATCTTGAATGTCACTGCCTCTGTGTCACGGTCAATCAAGCCTGGTATATTCTCGGCTGGAATTCGACTTACGGCTCCAATACCCAAGTTGAAAACAGTGACGGCGAGAGATGTAGACATCAATCTGTTCTCGAACGCATCTTGGATGGGTTTGACCCAACAGAAAACAATTCCATACATTCCAGCGACGACCCATGCCAAACCAATGTAGGATCGGCTCTCTTGTCCCACGAGAAAGAGAACAGATGTCAGGATTACCTTACGAGACATTTCAACCAGTTCCCAATACCATGAACGAGGTTGGTAGTTTTCAAAGAGAAAACCCAATCCTGTGATCATTTCTGTGCTAGATCCTGTATCCCTGTTCGTTGAGGCTAATGCTAATCTGCGTTTTCTCCAGAGGGCGATGAATGAGGCCGCAGGTAAGGCAATGATATATGCGGTGGAAATGTATGTCACGATGAGCAAGTAGTTGTACTTTGCTACTTGGCACTGTACGCTGTAATCTGCTTTGAGGTACGCTTTGCATAGTTCTTCTTTTTCATCTCTGCAAAGCTCTCGGCAGGCAAACGGCAGGACACTGGCTGTCTTGGAACACGTGCTCAGATAAGTGACATACATGAAGAAAAACAAATTCTTGTACACAAACTCTTTTGTCTGTGAGATTCTGTTTGACTTTTCTTCGTCATCAAGGTTTTGATTTTTTAAGATGATTAACTTGTACATCCCGTAAACAACTCCAAAAGTGCCAATGACAGCGAAATTCAATGACATAATCAGGCATAAGTCTCCAAAGGCATCTAAGTGTAATCCCGGAGAGAGGCAGTTAACGGGTGTTATCTGAAATAAATTCATCTGGAGTATTCCTGAATACTTGGCGATAACTTCCAAAGATCCCGGCCATTTTATGTAAGAGAAAGCCTCCAGTAGGCCATTAGTAACCTGATAAAAGCCGATGACGATCTTAAGCTTGGAGAATAACATGTCTACTAGGAAGCGTCCGCGGTACTTATCAGTGTTTCTTTTGGTCTTCCACACCACAAGTACAACGATGATCAGCACAATAGTTACTATGATTAACAACTGTCCTGCAATCCACTTAAGCTTCTTTGATGGACATTGTATGCATACCTGCAGCTGCTTATAGTATCCTGTACTGCAAACTCCACAGAGTGGCCCTTCGTACCCATTCTCACACAGTGAATCCAAACCACCTATACAAGATTATTCTACTGGGCACTTGTAAGGCGTTGGAATCGGAAAAGGGAATTTTATGGAGGAATTATCCAATGCTGGTGAGGATGCCAAAAGATTTTCGATAAATTCTCTGTAACGCTGTTTGTATGTCTCGTTACTCCATTGCCACCAGTGGCCTGTTTTCAAAGAAGCGTAGTCATCTTGGCATAACAGTCCACCTTGACCACATTTGTAGCTTTCCTCAAATAGATGAGTTCGATAATAACCTTCCAGGCACACACAAGCACGATATCCAGCGAAAAAGTCAGTTTCTGTACCTGGTGAAGATTTAAGGTTGTGTCAGTCTTGTTCAAAATTTTCTCTCCAAACACTGATAATAGGTGCATAACATAGAAAAGTTGATAATCAGCCTCAGTAGTACGGCCCGATTTGCAAAAGACCTCAGTAGAGAAATGTGGTCACTGTGCATGTACCAGCTGTAAAAGTTTAAAAAAGTTTATTTTAATCCGTAAATGGGGTAATCTCGTGGATAATTGGTAAAAAAAAGAAATGACAAAAGTTTTTAATTCTAAATCCTGCGGAGATCAACAACAGTCGTGCACGGATACAATGTTTAAACATGGTTACAACGAGAAATTGAGAAATGTTTATCCTTTCAAACATGATATGGACTCTATGAAACCCTTTCGAATTGTCCTCTCGAGCAGTTTAAGGCCTGGGTCAGGAATGTAAAATAGAATTATGGTTGGGCAGCTATATCACTTGTTATATTTGTTTTACCAAGATGAACGTTTCCTTGATTATAAAACTGGGCGTCCTTCCTTGCCTTAACATATTATTTTGATCACGTGACGTGTCACCTGATCATTTTTTTTTCAGTTTGGTAAATCGGCGAATTGGTGGCGAATTTTTATTCTGTTGATCAATAAATGAGCGTTTTCGATGCATATCTAAATTACCTTGCTACGTTTGGAATGATCTTCCTTGATTTCGTTTTTGAAGATATAAACGATCAAAAGTCGAATTTTGTTTAAAAAAAAACGACCTTTGACCCTATAAATTTTTTCTGCGAAAAGAGGGACGGTTATTCCAAACGTGAGAGGATGGAGAGCTGAACTGTAGCTTTCTAAATCCTGCATCGTCCCAAATGGACTGCACAAGAGTTTCCTTCATCGAGAATCGATTGAACTTCAAACAAACTAGGCCATAATTATGAGTTAGCGAACACTCAACATGTTGTCGTTACGTCAATTATCAACCGGAAGCCACGCAAATAAATTTCTTCCGCGCTGGCGAATCACATACAGTCCTGATATTTAGCTAGGCCGAGAACGCCTAAAATTGATAAAACAAGGAAATGCTACTGACGATCAGCGCTTGACCTCATGTTCTTCACTGCTCGTGGCCATGGTTTGCTCGCAAATAACAATGTCCCGGATGTACTTGAGTTTTATCGAGCGGGAAATGCCAAATCCAGACTTCAACAGATTTTTTTCTTTAGCCAAATCAAATTTCAGACCAAATAACGCCAACAACAGCTAGAAATGTCTAGTCCATTGCAAGTCTAAGCCCTAAACTGATGTGGCTAAAGCTCTTTGCTGTCTAAAACAAGCACAACATTATCGCCACAATGCAAACGGCCTAATATTACGGGGCTAAATGACGTCCCGTTTCAGTCCCGTTTCATGTACGATAATGGACGACGCTTGCTAGCAAATCGTTAGACTTGCACCTTCATTGGACTTTATGATGTCCTCTGGCCAGACTTCCTTTAGACAGCAGTTATAGAACGCTAATCGGTCGACTTCTTCTCAGAGTCATCGCGCAAACTGAAATTCAGACGAGCGTAGCCTGGGCTCACCAATTTAAAAAAGTAAGGGAATGGGGGGCGGGGCGGGTAGGGCTAAATAATAATAATAAATAGATAACAGCAAGAAGTTCTCTACATTTCATGCTAGGTAAGCTCTACAAGCTGCTGCCATTAGGAAAGCAAAAAAAACACAGGTTACATGAATGAGGGGGTTCAAATTTGCTGGCATGTTTTTGAAAAATCNAAGGCCCCTACCCCTCCCCCCTCAAAAAAAAAAAATCACAAGCTAACGGAATGGAGGGGTTCAAATCTGCCGGCATGTTTTTGGAAAATCAGACAGATATGTATTCTACTTTTTTCTGAAACCTCTGTAAAATTAATGTTTGTGAGAGTTTAAATTAAAATTGAATTGAATTAGAGATGTTGTTCAATCCGAACGCAGTTAAGTTAGTCATGTTAAAAACAATTCGCGGCAATTACTTAATGGCTTCAAATCCCCAAATCTTTAATATGATTGGCTTATTACTTGGCTAACCTCTTGATACTTTTTTTAGCGGACGTACAGCTACTTTATTTATTAATTTAAGTAAGAGATTACTTTGCTGTATGAAAAAAGTTAAGCAACTCAAACCTGAACGGTGTGCGTATTCAAACAAAAAGTTCGCGACACTTTCATTTAAGGTTTCTTTATCAAAACAAATAAAACTTATAAAACTTGTAAAATAAAAACAGGTGTCATTTGATGGTCATGGCCGGTCTTTCTAAAGAAAAAGAGAAAAAAAATTTTCCTTTGGTTTTGAAATGTCCTTAACTCGAGCATACAAAGCTTTTACCGCCGGCAAATCGCATTTATGTACCACAACATGTTTACCTTGGGGACATGTCTTGCAATCAAGGACTGATTTTCCTGGAGTTTGGTCATATGGAACATAAGAGCCATTTGGACATTTCTTGCAGTCTTGGGCCACATAACCAAAATCGTCAGAATAAAAACCACCTGAAAACATCACAATATCATTATATGAATTTTTGCAGAGCTATTATTGGAAGAGGGAAGAAAACAACCTCAGAAAAAGCAGAGGCGTTAAAGACTTCATAAAATATCTAGTAGGAGAACGAACAAAAAAAGCCAGCGAAGTCTCAAGCATTACAACTTTTTTTATAGACTCCTCGTCGCGCTTTTGATTTTAAAGATTGTTGCTGAAAAAATGTAACTAGTTCATATTAATTTTTATGTAAAGTGATGGAAGCAATAAAATTCAGTTCAGTTCAGCTCAGCGGATATTGCATGCCCGCCACAGGTTTCGCCTTTGGCTGTCAATAGTATAGTTGTGACTGACTCTTTTCTGAATATCATAAAAACCAACTGAATCGTTACTGAATCACATTTATAGAGATTCTGTGATCGGAGATACGTGACTCGACATGATAACCCTTGGCCACATGACCATGCTCTTCTTATGACATGACCATGTGGGTATCCGAACACTTTCCACGGATGAATTATAAGCTATAAAAATTTAAGCGTGTAAAATGTGCTTGTAGCCGATATAACGCGCGCTGTGATTGGCGAATTCTGGGGCATTATTCTCCCGTAATGCCCACAGGCCGATTATGGGTCTGGAAAAGCAAAGCAAAAAGCCATATAATAAACAACTTATTAATCTCGAACGTTCGATTTTTTACGGGAAAATCTCAAACCTCGGCCTTGCTGTATTGACCTCGCGATCGCTCGGTCAATACGGGAAGGTCTCGGACAGACAGACACATACATAGTACATTCTTTAACAACCTGAAATAAGTGTCTAATGGACAAACCTAATGCACGTCAAGCAAACAAATATTGTTTTCACTTCCAAGTGCGGCTGTCCCTGTTTATAGGCTTAGGGTTATGTGTGTTGCAAACCAATGAACTGGAGACAATGAAGAGGACAAGACCTTTGCAGAAGAAATCCCTACATTTGCCTTTGTAAAAGAATTGCTCTAAGAACGTCACTAAAGCTGTCAAAAGGGCTAGAAATAAAATGAAGCACAACTTTGGCAATGTTCTTTTTTTTATTTTCTCAAAGACATGCAAAAAAATTACCCTTGTCAAAATAAAAAAAACTACCAAGAGGAAAATATATAAGCACCTTAGCGGCCATTTCTTTAGGTCGTTTAACGCTTCTTAATTACCTTTTACTGGCCACAAATCTAGAAAGCCGAGGTTAGATACCTGGAGAGCATTCCGTGCATCCTTGAATTCTTTCTGAGGAAGAGTTAGAAAATGTTCCCAGTGGACATGGTAGAAGTGTGACATAATCCCAGCTATTGTCAGGTACTTCTCTGAATCCTGTGGTCAACAGAACTCCAATAAGATCATAATGTATCCATATGTTGAGTTCGATAGCCTCTGTGTATGAATTATCAGGATTCCTGGGAAGTAAACGTTTGTTTTCTTATGAGAAGCAACAACGAATTCTTAACACGGTATGAGAGCTCGGTTGTCGGGAACATAACTGAAACGCCTGACAGATTATAAAGAATGCGGGAGGGGGGTGTGGAAATGTCGTCGAGTCGTCACGACTCGAGACGAGCCGATACGACTCGTTGCTTCAAAAAGTCGACTCGACTTACCCAAAGTGAGTCGGGTCGTCTAACTTTGGGGTCGACTCGACTCACCGGAAGTTATGTCGCGAAGTACAAAACGTAGTCGTCTCACGTTATAACGTACTCTACTTACCGGAAGTTTAAGGAGTAATTGGTGTTATAAAGAGGATCAGGCAGGCCAGGAAGTAAAGGTAGAAAGTAACGAGTATGCACGACTCGACACGATTCTTGTTATTATTTATATACTGCTTCAAGAAAAGAAGAAGAGTTTTATTTGGATGCCTTCTTAGTGATTCTGACAAATAGAATTAAAATTGAGAAACATAAATCTAAGTCACGAATTAATATGTAAGAAAGCCACCTATTGTAGCTAATGTCCTACATGAAAGTAATGTAAGATATTAATAAATTGTAAATAATGTTAGTATATTGTAAGTTTTGTTAGTATTGTTAAATCATAAGTTATGTTAGCACTGTAAGTAGAGTAGGTACTTTTTGTATGTAATGTAATGTTATTGTTGCAATAAAAAATCGTGTTATTGAATAGTAGAGTAGACAGGGCAAGACGGCGATGTGGAGGGGGTAGTAAAATGTCGTCAAGTCGCGACAGCCTAACCCTCAATACGATACAATACAATGCAATACAATACTGTATTGTATTGTATTGAATTGTATTGTATTGTATTGTATGGCTCTGTCTCACAAAGACTGGGAACTAACAAATTTACGAATTTGATTGGCTGGAATCGATATTGAAAGCGGTCTAGATTTTCCTATCTAGACCGGCATCTAGACCGGTAATGTTTTGCAGCGAAGAAGTTGCTGCTTTGGTGGAGGTACAGTTTGTTTTTGGAAAAACAAAACTCGTTGGCCTTCAATTCATCAGTATAGTGATCTAAAAGTCCATCAGTAAATTCCTTAAAATACCCTCGCATCTGCCATTTTTAACCCATAGTACTTTAATAGTTGCCAATCCCCTTTCCAATAAATAAAATCCCCAGACACAAAACCGCGATCCGGTCCGCGATCCGCTTCCGTCGGTCTAATATCCTACTCTGCTGGCCCACAATTGAAACCAATTTGCGTGATGTTCCTGCGATGCATTCCTTTGAAAATGAAATACTACATCGACACGATCAGAGAAAAACTTCGGCTAAAAATACGTAAGTTCGATTGAAAGTTATCAGACTTGATGGAAATGAACGGTTGCTTTCGCCTTCATCAGTTCTAAGAGCTTAATCGTCTTCTATTAAATTCGCCGATAGATGGCAGCAATTAACACAACTTTCTTCAAATAAAGCTAAATCAAAACATGTCGAGCACACCTTTTCACCCAACGAGTTTTGTCCCGTGTAGACTCTAAATCGGAATGGCACGACACCACTCCAAGTTCATCTCCTACTGGAGGAGAATTTGAACTAACTTACACTCCATGGTTCCTTACTCGATGCTGTCAACCTGTTTTGACTTGTAACCACTTGATGGAATTTTCTATCTACCCTTCACATCGCCTTCAATGAACTTTTATGTTAAGAATCACTCCGTCGACTCGTCACGACTTGACGACGTTTTTGTACCCCCCTACACATCGCCTTCGAGACGCTTTTATACAAGTCTCACTCTGTCCACTCGACTATTCCATAAACACGAGTAGTGTCGACTCGAGACGACTTGACGACATTTTACTACCCCCTACACACCGCATTCAAAGCGCTATTAATTTCAGCGAGTGAAGAACGCAATTTGAGTTCGTTTTCGGTGCGTTTTCAATGTTTGTCGCTGAAATTTGGCGGGAATGTTGCCCGATAATCAGGCAAAAAAACCCCGTCGACGGATGTTTGTTTTTTCTTCTTTCCATGATAGTTATGACAAATAATAGACAAGTAATCAAAATTTTCCGACTTGGATTTTTAGAAAAAAAGAAGAAGACAAAGCAATATTGTTCGCTTCCTTCTACTCAAGTCCGACCAAAAGCGAGCTTAATTAGTGAACCTGTTACCTCTGTACTTTGGGAAATCGGGCGCTATATTCAGAAAACACCTTTTTTTGTTTTAACGAATAATTATACCTTCAGTTCGTAATTTACAATTCCTAAGCTTTCAGAAAACTTATACTTTGCCTAGAATGTTCGACCGTAAAACGTCATTTGGGGTATGCCGATACCTTAAAGAGTTCGAAATGGTAAGTAATAAGCATCAAGAAGATTTGAACGATGGTAAAGAGGTTAATAATCGCTTAGAAGCATCGACATCGTCCTTCGGGTTGCAAGTAGGTCGGAATCAAAGGTCTTCCTGAATACACACGAAAAAAAAACCGCACTACAAAACCCTACGGAAAAGTTTAAAATGGACTTTCTTGTCTACGGTATGGAAATATTGCTATTGTAGTTCAACCGTATGTATCGCTTATTAAATTAACATTCTCTTCTAGAGGAATTGTTTTGGTGTTATAAACTTTTGCGTTATGTTCTCAGCAGATGGGTAACAACACGCATTCGGATAGCAATATAAGCTTACTTTTGGAGAACACTTATTAATATATCCAAGTCACTATTTTTCATGAACACAATCTTTATGGCGTTCACCAATTTATTATTACGCAGCATTATAGATGTTAGCCTTATTGCTTCCGTTAAGTGAAGCTTGACAACTTCGCACTTTCCGATCGGAACCAGTCGTTTTATTTGTTCAGGTCATTAGGTTTGGAGAAATGGTGAATTGGTTGGTGAATTTCAGAAAGGTTTCTGTTTCGAGCCACTTTTATTGAAATTTTTTTTTCTACGCGTAGCATTTAGAGCAATTTTTGAAGCCTTCTCTTACATTGCCTTATAAACTGCTAAGATCGTAACGCAATCGCAAACAGCATAATGTCACGTTCTTGATCCATATGTGATCAACAGGAGATGAGTAAATAACAGAACACAAGTGAGGATGATCATACTCTCTTAGAGTATATCATGTATATGCGAGACCAAATCCACAATGGTGCCAAATTTTCTGGGCTTGTCCCAAGGGTTGGCAAACTCCCGCTCCTTGATAATAAAATTTCAAATGGCCCACCTCCAGAATGAAGACGTAAACAAACGCCCAGCTATTGCTTGGAAGTGCTAGGATGGACACTTCTGGAATAAACTGATACATTATGTCCCCTTGAGGAAGCTCACTCCACGTGGTGGAGCTGGTAAAATTGCATGTAAACAAAGTCTAGTTTTTTATCACGGCTAGGTGGAATCAAGTTCCATGGCCTTATGTCCATGCAATGCCGTGTTCTTTTCAATGGTCACGCATTCTCATCCAAATGTCTCTTTAGCAATTTGGCAAACAACTGCTACATAACTAATATTCAAAGCATACAACTCCAAGAAAAAATTATACACATAATCACGAACCGATAGTCAAGAGCTCCTGACCTAATTTCATTCACCTATTGTATTCTCGAGTTTGCTCGTAGAGCACTTTGATTAGACTAAAAATATATAACTTTGTAGGTTTTGGACTCAGCCCCAATCTTTTAGTGTGTCTACTGAAACAATTGGACTATTTGTACCCTCGTTTTTGCTGACCACTAGCTACTCAACTCGCTCGCGCCTTGTTGACTATTGGTTTCATAGAAAACGAGGATGAATATAGAAACACGTGTCGAAGTTTGGGAGAACGAGAAATGTTCGCGTTCGAGTTCCTCCAAGTGTTGACGATTGTTTCTGTGACCAGAAGAAAATACGGTGAAAGCATTCGCTAAGAATGTAATCTGCTGATGCAGGCTCAATGGGTGGACATCAGGGTCATTTCTGGGCCATTTGTGCATTTTTGATATACTGACAGATATATTTTGTGCTGGTCAATGGAATAATATGCTAGTGTTGTCGGTGCCCTTTCCTTTATAACCCTGAAACAAAGGAATAGAAAACAGACTTAACGTGTATTTAGACCGCATCCATGTTTGATTAGCAGGTCGTAAACAGCTGAAACACCCATAATGTTTAACTTATATTTTGTTTGCTCGAGACACAATTCGACGGCATTCTCGCAACTTATTATTTACTTACACTTGAATGGTTTCCCGTTACAAAAGCTTTCAATAGAGATAGTGAGACATGTCGGCAAGAAAGGCGGGTTCCAAATAACATGTAATTTTACAATGAAAGAAAATAAAGATTATTGTTGTTGTTTTTGTTGTTGATCAAATTTTACTGTTCTTATAAGCCCCATGGGAATTAGTAAGCGTAAAAATGGATACGTCACATCTTGAAATCTCGAACATAGGGGTCGACGAAGGAGTCAGAACTCAATGCCTTCAGCTTCGTTCGAAGCAAATATCTAAAAGAAGACAAAATGAAATTAGAAAACATCCTGTTAGAAAGCGAGCACTAAAAGCCGATTAACAATTAGATAATAACCCCGAGATCAGACAAAAGGCCGAATCAACTATCACGTAGTAGACATACAGCGATAGCCGAGTGTGTCACTGATACTCTTAGCACTTTTGGACGTCATCTGTGATCTGTTACTCAACAGACGCACGGCAACATGGAATCTATTTGTGTCATGTGATAAAGAACAAACTACTACAGATAAAGCTTGTTTCTTTCAAAATCCTTCAGCATAACTCAAAGGCCGGCCTTTGCCCACTTTGGCAAACACGAAAAAAAAAGCCATTTGACGTAATCTATTGTCTCTTCAAACTGAAGCAAACTCATTGGTTGCTATGCGTAGCAAAGAATTGTGATTGGTTCAGTCTACATCTTGTCCTCGATCTTGGGAAGAGATTGCGCTTTTTTGGCGCTTTATGAAATTCTCTTCTGTAAATAGCCTGCGGGATTTCCGTTTGCTAATTGCAACTTAACTTGGCTCTATTTGTAAAATCAGCCCCCTTCCCCCCTCCCCCCTCCCCTTTCCCCCCAAAAAAACTTCTGGGGTGATTTATCTTAAAATGTTATTACCTTACAATCATAGCTGTACGGACATAAGTGTAAAGGAAAATATTTACTTCCTCAACAGTAAAAGTTTTCTTGTTTAGCCAAGCGCAACAAGGAGTTGATGACATAAGTTAAATGGAGCCTCATAAAATTAAAATGAGACAAGGAGAAGTGAACATGTTGCTATTCTTATAAATATACATTTTTATTCTGTTCCTTTTTAATACTCATATGCGTTTTTTTAATGCCCAATACGTAAACAGTCCATCAGAAAAACTACTATACTGGGATAACTTACATTTGCAGAGGATAATCACCAAATTTAAATGCCTCTGGTCCTATCGTCTTTATAGGATTGCCCGAAAGCATTCTAGAAAGACAGAGACAAAAAGAAAACTTAAAGCATTTGGGATGGCTAAGTTTAAGTTTTATTTGCTAGATGGAATCCTCATGGGATCTTGATCTGAAAATCGAAAAGAGAAATTGGACGTAATTTTTTTTTCACTGCGTTTTAGCCCTCCAAAAACGTAAAATTTCACTTCCGATTGGGTCAAAAACCGTGACAGGTGGTAGTCACCGAGTGTTTCTTCGACTGACCACGTTGAAATGCAGTGTAATGGAATGCAATGAAGTTTGTATTGGTGAAATACAAAACAACTCAAACCAGAACTTCCTTAATACATGGACAAACTACTTACAGACGACTGGATTCCGAGTCTGAGTGCTCGAAATCGCTCTCTACATAAAACTTATTGGTTGACATCTCTTTGCGTGAATTTGGACAGTTCTGAACTAAAATTGGAGCCACGCGACAGTGTCTCAATCCCGAAATATTTACCTACGCTCGTCTTTAATTTCTGTTTGCGTTTTTGGTTCCGATAGCAAATCCTGGCCGATTTAGGTAAAGGTTTTTGGACTAAGCATCTTGCAAAAGTGTTACAATGGGGTTACCCTGTTACAAAAACGAAAACATGAGCGAAATTCACAAATACTTAAAATGTGTTTATTTCAGCCGCATATAAACAAAGATTGAAGTGTCATTGTTAGAGAAAACCGGGCAGAACCAAAAGATCGATGTCGGCTGTTTACCTTTTATTGCCCGTTTATCTTTTGACAGTGTTAAAGATATCCGAAAAGATTAACAACTATGACATTTGCCGAGGTAGGCCTTCGTTTTTCTTCGAGATATCACCAAATCATGATTTTGGCAGTCTAAAATGGCCGAAATTTCAGGCAATTTTGAGTGAGCCTAAAAGATACTTCGTATGACCTCCAGAAACTGTTACATTTTGTCTATAACGATTGTCCCCTTAATAGTTGACTGAGACATATAAGACATCCTTAGCTTTACTATTGTTATATTACGGTTTTACGAGGGGCCAAATATCGCCGCCGAATCGTTAGTGAGAGTGATCCGAATTTTTGCCTGATTTTCAGCGGGTTGTCTGGCAAATGTGCGGCAGTTTATTTCTTTTCCATCATTTAATGAAATCGATGGTATCGCAGCTCAGAAATGATTTTTAAACGATGCACATGTGACGGAGGTTGAGCGATATTTTCAAATATCGCTGTAGATTTCCTTGACACCTCTGTAAAATTAATGTTTGTGAGAGTTTAAATTAAAATTGAATTGAATTGATGTGGATATTATACGATTGTTTAGCAAGTTTGCTATGTAGCTCTTCCTCCATGCGATATGGACTATTTTCGTTACACTAACCGACATCTACACCAAAGTGTTGCAGAGCATAACTCTTTAAATTCCTCAGTTGGGAAACACATGCTCGAGAAGCACGGAATGTAAAAACCGAATTCAATTAACAATTTTTCGGTACTCAAAAAGTGCCGAAACGAACTCGATTGTCGCATTTCCTAAATGCTGAAAATCAAAGAACGCTAACCAGCCGAATGGCACAAATAATGTTATTTATATTTTTCACTTATTTAAGTCCTTGTGTCACCTCCATATTTTTACTTCTGCCTTGAAAATGATGTTCGAGACATCGAAACGTGAAATGCCTGTTTTATTTTTCGTGAATTGTGGAAAGACCGTTTTATTTTGCATGAAATGTGATGTAGATCCGCTTTTTCTACCCTCTTTGCAGACGATTGTGTTATTTACTTAGGAATCAACGATACACATGACCACCAGTTGCTACAATCAGATCCAGACAGCTTGTCTTCCTGGGCTAACCGTTGGTAGTTAAATTTTAATGTTTCCAAATGTTCTTACCTTGGAATCACACAACCTCGATCCCAGGGTCTCTCATCTTCCCGCCCTGGGAACGAGGTTGGGAATCACAAACAAGAATCTCCCTAGTCAATTCAATTATGCCTTAAATGGTGAAGTTATTTCACATGTTAAATCTACCAAATACTTAGATGTAACCATCACAGATATTCTATCTTGGAATGAACATAGTAAAATGATATGTAACAAAGCAAACAGTACACTTGGTTGCTAAGGAGAATCCTTAGTGCATGTTCCCCATAGGTAAAATCTAGAGCTTAAATATCTCTTGTTCTCCTAAAATTAGAGTATGCCTCTTTGGCATGGAATCACATACTGACTAGATTGAGATGGTTCAGCGCCGTGCAGCAAGATTTGTATTTAATGATTACTCAAGATACAGAAGTGTCAGCTCTATGATAGACAACTTGGGGTGGGACACGCTAGAGCAGTGTAGGCACGTTCATCAATTGCAGATGTTCCATAAGATCAAGTACGGCACGGTTGAGATAAAATTTTGTCCCGACAGACCAGGCTGCCAAATCGCCATCCTTATCGCGAATACGGTGCACTGTTGACAGTTTTAAATTTTCATTTTCTTCGAGGGTTATTCCTATATGGAATAACCTTAACTTTTTAGTTGATCAGGCAAATTTTAATTATGTAGCAGCGATGAAAACCATAAAATTATTCTTTTAAAATGTATTTTCCCTTTTCAATTATTGTATAAATTTGTATATATTTATATGTATTCTCTTAGTATAGTTTTTTTTTACACTATTTTAGGTCTAACTTGTTAAAGATTAAAGATAACAGATAGCCGTAATAGGCGAGAGAGAACTGACACGAAATCTAGAATTAAATATCAGATA